TCCGGGGATCTGGAGTGGGTACGTCCATTTTTATGAAGGCCAAGGACGAATAGCGTAGATAAGAGCTCGGCCCGGCTCTGTCCCTTCCGAAGGGAAATTTTTGAAAAGTAAGATTCGCTCCGTTTTAGCGTAGGGGAAAAAGCGAGGGAAAATGCGTGGCCGATTAATGACATAAAGGAGGACGCTTAATTAATAAATTCACTGTTGGAAAGTAGGGTGGAAGGTGGTATAAGGGGGTGGCCTCGTTTTTCGCGAAAATGCCGCGCACAAGGCAGTCTCCTCCAGATGAATAGCCATCTCCGTTACGTTAGGAAAGTGGGGTAACTGAAGTAGCATGATTAATTAACGTATAATTAATGAATGGCTGAATCTAATAAGAAGCTTGCGGTGTAATCACCTGGAAATTTATCATGCACGAAAATAAGCGGCCCCGTCTCGCCGCACGGAAGGAAAAATTCCGCCAATTCTTCGTACTTTGCACTTTGCTACATTGTTTAATTCTCGCGAAGAATAAAGACTTTAGCTCCTAGCTCATGGCCGTATAATCAAGATACGATGCTTTGTTCTCACATCTTGTTTCACGAAAAATGGTTTTAATATTATTTCATATAATATTTGTACGCAGTACGTTAATGAAAATATATTGTTATATCCAAGTCTTCGTAGTATTACAGTAACTCTCTCTGTGTAATCTTTAAAACATGTAATATTATTTTAAAACTTTATTTGAAATATTATAATAGATGTAAAAGAAGGTTTAAAAAATTGTTTATTTCCATACACTGACATTTATTTATACGGTTGCAGAAGTACGAAATTCTTGCACGCATACATAAGTACCTTCATCAGCGGATATTGTCGCTACTGCCAAGTGCATTTCTTTTCTCGAAAACACTAAAAACTTTATAAGGAATTAATCTGATAGCCTTCTTCGAGATTCTCTACTGAAACTGCAATGTCAAGATATTCATTCACTTAAGTAAATACCATGTACGTTCAAGGTTGCTAGTAGATGTTCTTTAAGATTTACCAGCCACGAGTTACTTGTATCCTCATGTAGGCTTAATGAGCTTAATGAGTCTCACTGAAAGCTTTCGGATCTTCTTGTAAAGGAAAATAGAATTTGCATTTTATTACGTGAACATCAAATCACTAATATCTATGTTGTATTAGACATAATGCAATATACAATAAGATCATAATGTACGTGTTATACGCTAAAATAAAAGATGTTTGTAACTTACAAGTATTTCATATATATATATATATATATAAATAGAAAGTTTTACCCACCATTTTTTGTTTATTTTTTTATTTTTTTAGAAATATCATCTACCCTACAGCAGTGCATGCTAAAATGTGTTAAATTTAGCGCACATATACCTAAACATTGTTCACATGTAGCCTGCGTATTTTGATTGCGAATAGTTGTGAATACATTCCAGATTCCAGATACACACTTGGTCAAGTGTGTCTCTACATTTTACATTTGTAGGTATTCAGATTAGTTTCAAACATGTTGACCCATGCTATTGAAATTTACGATTTTTTTCTGTTAAAAAAATATCATTTATAGTGAGGAATAAATTGTTTTTTTTAGAATATGATATAATTGTTTTTTTTATAATATGATATAAAAACAATATATGTATTTCAATAGCGTATCATCTTTTCTATTAATCTTTTCTCTGCAGATTACATGTATATTAAATAATTAAACGTTACAAATCGGCAAATCAAGTTTATGTTTTACTATTCGTATATATTATATATATATTTCAGTTTCTCTCTTTCCTTCTCGATGAAAACATTTGCTTGCCGATTCTCAGATAATCTTTATTAATATTCGATAACTCGCTTGCATTAAGAAAAGTAACTGACAATAAGTCGTAATAACTTTATCAATTTCGTAATTGTGTACTAAATTATGAGATATATGACATTTGTACGCAAAACAAAATATTCTTCGAGATCATTATTTTATTACGTAATTATTTTTTTTACGCAAATCTATCCTTAGCGAATCTATATCTAGATAATCATTAAATTGTGCGAGATCTGCTTTGTACTGACTTACGCCAATTGTTTATCAATCAGCGATTAATCTCTAGTTGCCATTCAGAGTTAAATGAATATTTCCCTTTGACTTCTAACAAGAGTATTTTTCTTTATCCGATCGCTTTCAATCGCTATTCTTTCCTTCTTTGATGGTAACCGCTTAATTCATTGGTGGCGAACACTCAAATCACCGACTGCACTTTATACGATTAAAGGCGCATCAAAGGGTGACCAGTTTGTTCGTTACGATGATGGGCATCGCTATGACGAAATATCAGACAAGGCGGAACGAAACGGGCAGCCTATACTAAGAATTCATGTCGCGCATCTCCTTCTTGCCTGATTTTCTTTCGGCTAGTTGTAACGTACGAGGTGTTTCGCATGGAAGTGAGTGCTCTCACCCTCTACCTGGGCCTTGAGAGGTGGTCTCGTAGAAAAGGGAGAGGAAGTGGAGGCAACATGAGAATGGCGAGAGGGTCGACAGGGGTAGGGGCGGGGGAGGAAGGGTGAATACAAGGAGAGATCCGCCATGGTTATCATGAAAGCTTCAACGAAACTCGAAACTCCTTCGCTTCTTATTTCTTCTCACCCTCATGTACGTGGACTGCATCCTTACGCCGAGGATATCCTTACCCTGGAGACCTAGGACTCCGTCATATTTACCTCGTTAAGGAATGTCCTATGTGCAAGTGCGAGAACGAGGGATGACGATGGGTCCTCGCAGAGACCCCGAATATCGATTCGATCTCTAATCGCTATAATTCTCAATCTCTATATATTTACGAGTGACAAACTTATTTATTAATTATCAGAAACTTATCGTTTATTTTAATAAATACGCGAAGGAGCTATATAAAAGAACAACCAAAGCGTGTATTTAAAAAGAGATAAAGGGATGACGATTAAAGTATTTAGTTTATAAAAAATTACAAACGTAAATAAGATATTACTGCAGCATTAAAAATTCAATCGCACTTATTTAAATATTATTATTTCTAGCACAAATAAACGAAATTACATATTGCAAGAAAAGCGATATTCTCGGAACTACCGTATATATTCGTAATTGAGAGTTATATTGCAATTTCATGAAATATATCGCGAACAGGAATATTACAAAGTGAAAACGTTTTGGGAAACGTACCGAATTGCATATATTTACGAAGGTACATATGTGTAGCTTCGTGTTACACTTTACCGCGAAAATATTACTTTACCATATCTTTAATTATGCACGTATTTTTTCATAGATTTGAAAAAGCGTTGCAATAGCAACGTGATTAAATATCAAATCCGATCGCGTGAAATAAAATATTGCGGCGCGAAAAGCCGGGGTCAGTCTTCCCCGTCGAATTTGTTTGCTGTCGAACGACGAAATGCCCGGATGTCACGGAAATATGCAAATGCTCCTGCATAAACCCTGGACGAAAAATAAATGCCTCGTGGATATACGCGTTGAAATATCCGCTCCCGCCACGCCGCCATTCGCCTTCCATGCGAAGGATAATGCCTTCCACAGATTTCCTTACGATGCCGTATCTTGCGGAACCCCGTCTCTTCTCCGATATAGACGTCGTCCTACGTCGTCTGGGTGGGTACACGATAACAATGCAAGCGGAGAAACCGATATCGACTCCCCGGCCGAAGCAGGTTCGGATTGATGAGCTCGCGGTCTACGTTGTAAACGTAGTCATCGAGAAGCTCACCGCGGTATTGGAGATTTGATTGATCCCGATGTATATGGGAATAGGGAGGACAGTATTGTGCCACTGGTGCTAATTCCCATTAGTGGGTGTACCTCGTATGCGACCGGTACGGCATGGCAACGACGCCTATCTATGACCGTACACGGGCACGGGGAACCTTGTCCATACATTCGTTATCACTAGGCTCGCCTTACATGGTAATGTAATATAATCAAGATATGTTCTCCCGGACATGAATCTTACGTTATAGCCGTAAACCTCGTTAAAGCTTCGGACCCACCGGTCATTCTCGCGTCGCGCTTGTACGGCACACGTGGTGTTATGTGATTTTCATCCTTGTTGTTCATTATATAAATATGAGATACTGAATAAATCTGAGTGAACACTTAGCTTTATCATTAGGTAATTATTACATCACCTGTAAATGCTCGTTTTGCACGCCTCTTACATTTCTGTTACGCAATACAGAAAGTATATTAATATTAATTCTTTTTGTGTTATCCGTGAATAAGCATAATTAATCGGAATATTTGCGATGAATATTTGGCAATATGAAACATTTATTAAATTTAAGTATTAATAATTACTTATTTAATAGATGCTATCTTTAAGAATTGGCACACATGTACAATTCAATATCATTAAAATATTAATATTTCTAACGCGATTAATCTGAGAATTGTGAGACGTTGGTTAATTTTGTTCTAGATTTTGTAGTTCATTGACCTGAGTCCATTTTTTTTAAGACGTTATCAGCCGTTTCCATATCAACCGCGCGCTTTCACAGGGCGTATCACGTGATTTTTTTATCGCTGTTTGTTTGCTGTACAAATATGGAATGCGAGAACATACTGACGGATATACCGTCATATTATTCTTATGTCCACGTTCAATATTTGCTCAGTGCGATTTCAATATTTTTGTTTTCCATAGTTATCAATGGACGAGATGCATTCTTGCAGATTTGCACGTTTCTCGCATCACATAATGCGAAAAGTATAACGGGGGGGGGGGTGGAGGGGCTACTTTACATAATTCGGATTGGTTCTGTTAAGTGTCTTCATAAAACAGCTAATCGCACGATCATTCGATTATTCTCAAACGTGATAATTATCAAAATCATCGATAAATTGTTCATTGTTTTATGCTTGAATTGAAATTGTAACTTCAATGTTACATTCAGGCCGTATCCTACGAGCGCATTATTTATGATGACCTATCGATTTTTTTTTGCAGCGGCGTACGGGTCGACGAACTTCGTATTAACCCGTCATCCTCCGTCATCGCACGAATTAGATGCCGCAGGGACATTGATTGCAGCATGTGCTCCGGTGCACGCATGATTAGGACTGCATCGGTGTAATTGAGTGGGCGGATTTCCGATTTGCATTACCGTCGAAGATGTTGCTGCGCTGTGGGTTACTAATGGCACGGACACACACATAAATGGCCGAGACTGCCTACCGATCCGTACGGCTAGGTCGGTATGTGTTCCGCGCACCGGGTTAGCATCCACTACTCACGTGCAGGTATGTACCTGGATGGCGTTTCTCGGCAGAAACCTACGCCGAGGATCGACGGCGAGGGGGGAGAGAAACTGGTGGGTCGCAACCGCAGCCCGTGAGTGATACACCCTCAATATCCACACTTTACCCTAAGATCTCACTAAATCTCCTTCTAGCTTGCCTACCCATCTCCCCGGCACATCCATAAGCCTGCATACACACTGTTCCAGTTTATGAGCCGGTATATTTTCGGCCGCGCAGTAACGCGCGCGTGCGAAAGCGCGCCGAGATGTGCCGGGGATGTGCCGCGATGCCGTATGACGACGCATGTCGCATATCATCGTTTTGCCTCGCTACTAATGTCTCGCGGTGTTTACCTTATTATCGCATTAATACGAAAGTATTTCAGTAAACAGGTTTTTTAATGAGATAATGAAATTATGTATTTTAAAAAGGTATCGAATGAAAGGTAAATTTTAAAAAAGGTTCGTTGCTCCAGCTCTTACGATTTATTAAGATAAAAATCAAGACATTTAAAGATATCATTTGAATTTAATTTTAAATCTACGAATGTCATTTTTTAATCATACAATTTAATGTTGTGTAGGAGAGAAGCTTATATATAATTTTCAATTACAAACAAATTGATAGTACAATCGCTTTCGTATATGGAAAATGTCTATTATGTAATAAGAGCAAAATCCAGTGATTCCAATTATGACTTACGCTTTAGACAATCTATTTTTCACTAGAAAAAAGACAGGGGAAAAGAGATGGGACGACGATAGCGGAAAATTGATATGCCTTGTTTTTCTCAGACGTGCAAAAAGAAAAATAAACTCTCGGAAACGGTCTCGTATTTCGTTGGAGAACTATGTCTTCGTTTTGGGCAGCTTTTCACAACAGCTGTTGCCAGCTGTCGAAGGACGTGAAAAAAGGTGTCGGAAGCACCGGCGTAAACGTGAACAGAATTTCATATCGGAAGAATCTCCACACGTGGGATATGTGATTTCTTCACAATGGAATTAAAAAATTATAAGCGACACACTACATTCACCGAGCAACAGGCTATTTAAATAGTCCCAAATCGATGAGAAACATTTTAGAAAAACTTACTGGATATACAGATATAATACTAGATAGCAGTTTTAATAAACTCAACTAATTTTTATATAAAGCATATTTATATTATAATTGCATTAATTTTTTCTGAATATAATCAATTAAAAATAATAACGTTAATTGAAGTTGAGAGTATTACATAAAATTTTAAGCTAATGGAAATGAGCATAAAAGATTAAAAAGATTAAATGATTAAACCGTGGATTAAATATTTTCATACATCAATAATTCATCGAACGTTTCGAGCTACACTGAGCCTTCTTCAGCAAAATTATAAATTGTTATTGATAAGAATAACGATTGTAAATACATTAAATAATTATATAATAGTGAAAAATAATACGGTGATCCTAACCATACCAACATTGTTAAAATCAAGAGATCATGTTCAGATTTAAAGTCACAATCTTTACATTAAATCGTTTCTAAATCGGATGCATTATTGTTGGAAACTACAGTGAGTTAACATTAAAAATTTATACAAATACAAAAAGTGAACATATACATACAGTTTTATAAAATTGAAATGAATTTCTAATAAAAAAGTTTAAAATAGAAATTTATTTTTACATCAATTCGTTATTAAATTCAGCGCCAGAATATTACCTAATCCGAAATGTGTTTATGAAAATGAACATCTTCATCTAGCATGAATGACGTTCTTTTGAACGTCTGAAATCTTTTATACGCCTATAATCAAACAAATGTTAATGAATTAATTGAATCGTTCGTGTTAAGAGCCTAAAAAAACATTTAGAAATCTCGTATCAGGAGACATGGCAGTGTCTCGCGCCATAGTACGTACCTATTACGTGGCCGAAGAGCTCACATGCGATCCTTAAAGCAACAGGCGCTTTAACTGCCTATCAAGTGAGTGGATTCATTTACGAGTCGACAGAGGTGAATCAAGAGTGCTCGAGCTGCGGCTGTAGACTAGCTTTTCATATGCTGGCGCCGTAAATGGCCATGGTATCTCGACACGTTAAACCAGGTTGCGCCGCATCGGCCGAACCCCTTGGCGAGAACGTTTCATGATTTCGCATATGGTTTCGATCCGTTCGCTGATTTTACAACATTGATGGCGAAAACGTACCGAAGCGCCGTCGTTAATGGATGTACATTTTACACTTTCATTTGCATTAATTATTGAAGTTTCAATTATTTTAAAGCACGCGCGATTGCACGTAACCGTATTGCGTTAAGCTTTTCATTCGGCGGCTGCATGTTTTAGCATAAACATTTTACGCGGATGTTCCGATTCAACGGCTTATGCCATTCGAAGCTGTTTTGCAATTGTATTTTATATTATTTTGGTTAACAACAGTGGTATTATACAATTTGTGGATGTCATACGTTAGTTAAGTGGTAATGCATTGTTAATTGTATTGTGAAGAATTGCCTTTCGGGTTTTCCCCGTTGCTTTATTAACGTCATCTATTTAATTTATACGCGTAAAAAAGATACATTATTATTTGTATGCATTGTTCTTCTAATCTAACAAGTATAAAGTTCACGTAAAATATTAACTTTAATATATTTCTAAAATAGCATAATAATTTCAAAATTAAAATTAGATCACACATATAGAAAACTTTTCGTATGCTTCCTATTGATTTACGTAAACATGTTTTAAAGCACATTTAAATTTAGCTGTAAATTATTAAATTGCTTGCACACCTTAAAACAACTATTCTTACACCATGCTTTTTAATTACACTTTAATAAAAAATCACAATATTTTATTTTTAATAATTACTCTTTTAGAGATTGCTATGTGGAAAAGAATTGCATGATTTGCGCCACAAATACATATAATTAATCAAATAGCACTGAAAAAATTTTCAAAAATCTCTTTTTTTCTCTGTGTCTTTTAAATAATTTTTTATATGTATTTTATTACTATATATATATATATATATATATATATATATATAATTTTAAAAGCCAATATCTCGGTTTTTATAAAGCTTTAAGATTTAAACGACTGCTATCTTGTATTTAATAAACAAAAAAAGTTTCAGTAACGAAAAGATTTTCTAAATTACCTTAAGCATTTATACAAATTCTGACTGTTGTTGAATCGATTCTAGATTGTTCGAATTTTTGAAAGGTTGACACGATTCCAATTTGAAAACGGAAATGATAACCATCTCCAATTGTTGGCAGCGCAACTCGATCTGATACCAGATGTTTTAACGTAGAGATTGTTTTGACCGATTGACTGTTAGATAGATACCGAGGACAAATATACTCACACACAGAGATATACACTTTCCGATTTTTGCACGAGACATAAAAAAAGAGATATAGAAGAATTTTTTCATATCTCAAATCGGTTTGTAGGAGTTTTTATTTTTTTCCTGAACATCAATAAACATTTCAATTTTTAACAGTTAACATTTTTGTTATTCTCTATTCGTGAGAGAGAACACACATAATAGTATTTACTGTAGTCCTGTCATTATGCGGATCACATACAAAATTTTATGCAAAATAAGGAGAAAGCTAATTCTGATCGCGTTCTGATCATTCTAGAAAGATAAGATTTTATAAAAATAATAACGTTTTCAAACACAATATGGACTCGCGCGGATTCAGACACTGTGGTACGTCTAATAGGAAAGCAGCGTGAAAGCAGAACGAATTATTACGGCGCGGCACGTTTTCAGCAACAGCCTCGGGCGATTTGCGGCGGCGGCTTCCTCGCCCGCGCCTGGCCAGCGTCCGATCCCCGGCGGAACTTTCAGAAACATTTCAGAATGACTCGGCGTAATCGCTAGGAGAAGCAATACGACACAAGGCGTGGCGCAGTTGTAGAAAGTTTTAACGCGCTCGGCGTGATCTTGCAAATAGCCGTCGTAAATCAATAGCAAAGGACGTCTGGCTTCGGTGGAGGGGGCGGCGTAAAGCCGAAGAAGGGAGGCACGACGCTGCTGGCACGACCGGGGGTGCAGGGTGCCACGGGTGGGCCCGCGGGTTGGGGTAACGAGAAATTGAAGGAGCCCGTCGTAAATGGATGTTCGCGATTACGAGAAAAATCGTATATAAATGGCATGGTATGGGTGACGGTGTGAGAAACGGAGCGGAGGATGAAGTTTTATCTGTCGGGGTGGCTGGGACGCTCGCGCGGAGGGAAGAAAGGGATGTGGAAGGAGGCGAGCGCGCGAGAGAGAAGGACGGACGGTGAAGAAACGCGGATGCGGAAGGAGAGTCGAACCGGAGAATGAAGAACGGAAGAATTTGTCCGTATGACGGTGCACGTTTCGCAGCGAGGAAAGATTTTGAATCAAAGATCGATTACTACGAAGTTATGTGATTGAGGGAGCACTGACATCGTGCATTTTTAACTTGGTCCAATACGTACTTGGTATCGTGAATGCTTCAACATTTAAGTTACAGTAATTTTGGACGTATTCAACGTATGTACATGCGTACAGATATTTCGTGTATCGCGACTGATTAAACGAGAAACGATTGAGAAATGATCGAGGAAACAGTAGCGTTACAAATCTAGTGCTCTGATTTAACAGCAGATAGACAGTTTTACGTTTGATATATGCAAATAGGATTTAAAAAATAAATAGTTAATAACGCACTTAATAAAACATTATCTCAACATCAAATTTAATTAAATACTTAATTAGTTTAATTTCCAATTTAAATTAAATAAAATTTATATTTATGTGCAAATAGCATAATTTATGACACTGTATTAGAAATTAATATTCAACTATTGATAATCTTCATTTCTTATAAATGTGAACAAGAGATGAAAGAAGAGAGATTATGAATGTATTTAAAGAATAACTCATTCTCTCTCTCTCTCTCTCTCTCTCTCTCTCTCTCTCT